GTCTTCAACTGTTCGTTCGCTTTCATTAGAACCGTCATTACCGTCGTCCGGTTGCAGAGCTCACAGAGTTGGAACTTGACCGAACGACGGTGATGGCGGTTCTAGTGAACGCGAACAGATAGTTGAAGACTTCACGCAACGGAATGGAGAAGCTACCGACTACTACCCGCGACTCTCCCAAAGCAGCATTGAACTGCAAAACTACTGGCAGAAGAAGAGGTTCCAAGTCGGCTTTGCTATCTGAAAGCTGAAAAACGGAACGAAGCTAAAGCCGACAGCATCTCGTCAGAAGTTCTCAAGTTAGGAGACGACGCCCTGAACCATCTGCCAACGCTTTTCCAACTATCTGAAAATCACGTCGAGCCAGGATCAATAGACGGAGTCGAAGACCATCAGCATCTCGAAGGAAGGCGACCTGACCGATCTGAACATGATTTTACCGAAGTTCATTGTCGAAAGACGGGAGAAGAAACTCGAAAACTTCCAACCGACGTCCCAAGCTGATTTCCGGAGAAACCTCTGTTGCCTCGACCACATTCGCGCCCTGACTAAAGTCGTGGAAAGGCATCCGGAGTACCACCTATTCCTGGTCGTGGCCTTCGTCGACTATCCTCGCATTCAATAGACTTCGCTCTTTGAATAAGACTATGTTTTTTTAAAGAAAAACATGGTACAAGTAAAAAAGAAATAAATCCAAACACGAAGAGACCGATCTGGGCGACGACGAACATTCTAGAATGATACCATTCATGGAGAGAAAATCGGAAAACATAAAAATCATCAGGCGTCAAAGTTGTCGAGATAATATCGTCGCAGCTCGAGGCTTCATCGCTCGAAGTGTCCTCGCCAGCGTCGGCTTCAGAGCCGTCATCTTCGGTTTCCTAAAACAAGAGTGTTCATATAGTTAGATGAAAAAAAACTCACGATTTCCTCGGCGGCTAAGCGTTCTTTGTACAACTTGTACTTTATGCGCATCGCCTCACTTTCATCGATTTTGACTTCATATTCGGCCTGGATATCCGCCAGAAGTTGTTCCAGACGCTCTTTCTCGAGCTTGTGACGAAGAATCGGTTCGTCCTCAAAAACTCGCTTGGCTTCCTCTAGGTCGGCGTGGCAATCCATCTCGTCCAACCAAAGTTCTTCCACGAGCAGGTCCAGGGCACGGCATTTTTCAATATAGTAGCTGGCGGTCTCTTCAGGCATTGATGTCTGAAAAAAAAAATAAGTTTTCGAAATGTGTGCCAGATGAGCAATGAGAACGGCCGCGAACACATGCAATTTCCCTAAATCTAATGAGCCGTTCGCAGTTTCTCTTACGACCAACCAACATGCATGGCCTAATCTTTTACTTGAGCATATAGCGCTGACAAAATCAATCAGGTAAGTGTCTCAGCTGATGGGCTTCGACTCTCACAGCTTGAAAGTAACATTTTAGACGAGCTAAAACGACAGGTTTCAAGCAATAAGAAGGCGATTAAACCTTCCTACCCTGTTGATAGGTTCTTCGAAACACCTTACGACATTTCTTGGTCCCTGATAACTCTCGAAAACGCCTTCCCATTCGAAACGTGCACAACGTTTGAACGGCAATGCAGTCGAGAGCACACACGCACAGAAGTCTCACCAACACCGGAACCCCGAGACAGAGCTCGACGCTGGCAAAACACATGAGAAACGTGAGCAACAGCAAGCCGACTCGCCTTTCAGCGAATCAGACTCACCATTATACAACTACTGTTGAATTCTCACTCCTCACCTGACGAGCTCTCGAGTGCGACGATGAGGGAAGTCGACGGAACCCGAAGAAAACTTGATGATCATCAAGAAGCCCGTAAACTCTCATCTGGCACTGCTAAAGTCATAGCAAACCGACCTTTTGATAATGAATTCCTTGGCTTCTCACTATGAAACCTTTGATTGACGTGTTAGTCTCGAAGGAATCGCAAGCGGAAAGTGAATTCCTTTACTA